TATTGATGCCAAAAAAACCACATGTGAATTCACAGGGGACATTTTGCGTACGCCTGTGTCTGAGGATATGCTGGGTAAGAATAAAAGAGACGTTCTGAAGCTATCTGATATTTTTTTTTATCATGTGTATTTGCTAACACTAGAAGTCTATTACAGGTCGGGTCTTCAATGGGTCAGGAAAGCCGATTGATCGAGGGCCTGCGGTGCTAGCGGAGGACTACTTAGACATTATGGGTACATTTCAATGAGGCCACATTAATTATTATGCTCACAAATTTTCATCAGTGGCATTTTTGAGTATTGATGATATGTGTGTACCATCCAATTTCCTCCTACTTCCTGTAGGTCAGCCAATTAATCCTCAGTGTCGTATTTATCCTGAGGAAATGATCCAGACCGGCATCTCTGCCATTGATGGCATGAACAGTATTGCAAGAGGCCAAAAAATTCCCATTTTTTCTGCGGCTGGTCTGCCCCACAATGAGGTGAGATGTATATTTAATGTTTCATTCTCTTCTGTTTTTCATCTTAAAGGTATGAAGGATGCTGAATTTATAAAAGCATGATTATATAAAAGGTGATTCTCCTTGAAGACACACACACACATGTTGGATTGTTTTAATTAAATTAATTTATTCAGTGAGGATGCATTAAATTAATCAAAATTGACAGTAAATACATTTATAATAGTACTTTATATTTATATAAATGGTTCATTTTAACTTTCTATTCATCAAATAATCCTGAGAAACAATATATATATATATATCATAGTTTCCACCAAAAAATATTACACAGTACAACTCTTTTTAACATTGATAATAAGAAATGTTTCTTGAGCAGCAAATCAGCATATTAGAATGATTTCTGAAAGATCATGTGAAAAATAAATTACATAAATTACATTTTAAAATGCATTTGAATAATAAACCGTTTTTTTTTTATTGTAATAAATAATTTTGATCAAATAAATGCAGCCTTGGTGATCGAAAGAGACAATGTTTTTCAAAAACATTAAAAAGTCTTATTGACAACCAAACATTTGAACAGAATTGTATGTAAAATGCAATGTAGCAATAGCAAATATAAAAATAATAAACACACAGTTAATCAGCCAATCAGACACAGTGGCTCAAATCAAGCCAATTTATTGTGTATTATTAACCACTGCACTCTTGCACACATCTTGACATAGCAGTATAGTGGAAAATACCACAAAATGCCCATTTGACCAAGTTTACCAATTAGTTACCTTACAGTTGAACCTTGAACCTATTTTTTTTTTTTCTCATTGTAATGTGTGTTTTTCAGATTGCTGCACAGATCTGTCGTCAGGCGGGATTGGTGAAGAAGTCCAAAGATGTGATGGATTACAGTGAGGAGAACTTTGCCATTGTGTTTGCTGCCATGGGGGTGAGGAGCACTTCTGATTAAAAGTTTGCAATCTACATCCATACGAGTGGGATATCTTCATGACGTTACTTGTATCTTTAGGTCAACATGGAGACTGCAAGATTTTTTAAGTCTGATTTTGAAGAGAATGGGTCCATGGACAACGTGTGCCTCTTTTTAAATTTGGCCAATGATCCCACGTCAGTATCTTCTAAAATATTCTTCAAAGTAAAGGGATAGTTCTCTAAAAAATGAAATATTGTCATCATTTACTCACCATCATGTCATTCCAAACTCATATATAGCCTTTTGGGTTTTAAATATGAGTAAAAGCACCATAAAAACTTCCATAAAAGTCTAAATGATTCCAAGTGGACCAAAATTAAATGGGTTACAGAAGAGCAACCAGTACAATCCTTCAGAAGGTCTTGCAGGTTTGGAACGACATGAATGTGAGTAAATAATGACTCAGAAATATGACTTTTTGAAAATATTTTGATGTGACTTGGACCACAATGTTTGATTTCCTGATGCAGCATTGAACGCATCATCACCCCTCGCCTTGCACTTACCTCAGCTGAGTTTCTGGCTTACCAGTGTGAGAAACACGTGCTGGTCATATTGACAGACATGAGCTCTTATGCTGAGGCTTTACGAGAGGTACGATGTGTGAATTTATACTGACAGCCATTAGCATCAAAGTTAAACATGCTACTTATAACTATGCATTAAATCCTATCATCTTGAAGGTCTCAGCAGCTAGAGAAGAGGTTCCTGGTCGACGTGGTTTCCCAGGTTACATGTACACTGATCTGGCAACAATATACGAGAGGGCTGGACGTGTGGAGGGACGCAATGGCTCCATCACCCAAATCCCAATCCTCACTATGCCCAACGATGGTTAGCAAACCTACTCCTACCTACTCTTGTTTTAATCCTTTAACCATCATAAATGGTTTACTTACTTATTTTCATCACCTAAACACAGATATTACCCATCCTATTCCCGATTTAACTGGCTACATCACTGAGGGTCAAATTTATGTGGACAGGCAGCTTCATAACAGACAGGCAAGACATAGAAGCAAGCTTACAGTCTGAACATCAGTTATATAGTACATGATTGAATCTCATGTGCTGTTTTATAGTAATTGTTGATATTTCTGTGCAGATCTATCCTCCCATCAATGTACTACCTTCTTTGTCTCGATTGATGAAGTCAGCCATTGGCGAAGGAATGACACGCAAAGACCACTCAGATGTCTCTAATCAGCTGGTAAGTATGGACTTAAAATATTTTCAAATTCGTATTAATCAAAATTGTTTTTGAAAGAAGTCTCTTATGCTCATTAAGGCTGCATTTATTTGATCAAATTGTTATATAGTTTTAATATTGTTACAATTTGAGGATGTTGTGTACGGAGATTTAAATTGCTTCTCATCTTTTGCAGTATGCTTGTTATGCCATTGGGAAAGATGTGCAGGCGATGAAGGCCGTGGTTGGGGAAGAAGCACTGACATCAGATGACTTGTTGTACTTGGAGTTCTTACAGAAATTTGAGAAGAATTTTATTTCCCAGGGTAAGTAACAACAGGAGAGCAAAAAAAAAAAAAAAAAAACTCTCATTCCCCATTAAACACGTAACAAATTAAAATGTTTATTCTCACCAAACATGAAACAATATTTTCTCAAGGTGCTATATGTAATATTAGTAAAAAATTTTTTTTTTTAATTGTAGTTTATAGTGTAAGTTTAATTATAGTTTTAATTATAACTTTCAGTTAATTCTGATTGTGTCTCTTGTTTTATGCTTATTGGCTGAAATGTGTACCTGCAGGGGTTACCACACGTTTTCAGCTTGTGCATATGATTGCATGAAAAGCAAAACGGGCTGCTCTATATATAACTTCAGAATGAGCCTAACATGTTTTGTGCCACAGGTGCATATGAGAACCGAACTGTGTTTGAAACACTGGACATTGGCTGGCAGCTGTTGAGAATCTTCCCCAAGGAGATGCTGAAAAGGATTCCTCAGAGCACTCTGGCTGAGTTTTATCCCAGAGACTCCAAACATTAGTCTTACTTCCTTCCTCGTTTGTTCACTTTGTCTGTCAATCAGCCGTGAATCTGTCCTCTACACTTCTAGATGTTACTCACTCTCTCTGTTCAAATCAAGTACACTGAGTCTACATTGATGGAATACAAAGTTGTTTCATTTCTGCTCTTGGTCATGTAAGTGTTGCTGAATAGTAAAGCAAATATTGTATGAATGTTGCTACACCGCAGTGTGAAAGTATTTTTGTGTGTGAGTGTAGCTCAGTGTGTCAAAATGTGTTCTGAACAAATAGTTTGCTGGCAACATTTTGAACAACTGACAAAGCTATTATTATGCATCATAAAGCAGTCCATTTCTGTACTTTAGAAGTGCAAAGTTGAATGTATGATGGCTTTATGTATTCTATGAAATTTTCATCATTATAATGAATACACTATATATAAAAGTACATATTTATCATAAAGTATGAAAAGAAGCCATATGTTCATAGAGTGCATTACAAAGGAATAGAAAAGCAGAGTGGCCCTATCAAATCAAAGGATGAAAAAAAAAAACCACTGAGCAATAGATTTATCATTTATGTACTGTTTTTGTATAAAAATGTGTAATTTATGTTTGTGTAAGCAATATGTTTATTATCATTTATTTTGGTGCCATGAATGTATGTACTGTGGTAAAGTGTGTGATATCAAGTGAATTCATATTGAAGTGATTGTTGTCCTAATGCATGAATGCTATATTTAAAATATGCATGTAAACACTTGCTTCATGAAATAAACCTTGATGTAGTATAAATGAATAATCATGCTGATAGTAATCAAATATAATTATTGATGGTTTGGTGTTGATCAATACTGATGTAATTTGTGCAAGAGGGTACATATTCATTTCACCAGAAAATGTAGTTTTGCATAGCCTTGTTCATGTAACTTGCTAGCTCAAACAATAAGAAAAGGTACAGGATTGTTTTTAATCTCCACCTAATTTAGCATAAAATCTATGCCACACATATGTGCACACAATCACACATTGCTGTACAAAAGTACTGATCAAACAGTAAAAGTTTTGAAACATTTTTTTTTTTTATAAAAAGATATAATTAATAGCAAACTGATTTTAATATCAAAATTAGTTTGATAAAAGTAATATAATTAGCACATTATCCAATTACCACATTTTTATTTAATATGAAAAGATATAATTAATAGCAAACTGATTTTAATATCAAAATTAGTTTGATAAAAGTAATATAATTAGCACATTATCCAATTACATTTTTATTTAATATGACGTGGAATATTATGTATAAGGTGGGTCTATGAGGATATCTTATGTAGACATTACACAGTGACAGTAATGTTCTGGGATTATTTAGATGCTTTAAAATGTTTAAACTGCAGAGGGTATCAGAGCCTTCACAAAACAAGCATCAATTATCTTTTAACGCGGAGTTTCCCAGGTGAACAATATTTCATATAATTAGTCATTTGCTCTAATTGGACTGGTAAAGGCCTATAAAATACACTTACCTCCAGTTGCATGCATGCTTGGATTTGTTGATTCTGTGTGGTGGTTTGAGAACGTGAACATTGGGTTTTTGGAGTACTTGGATTTTTTTTTTTGTTTTGTTTTTTTTGTTTTTTTTTGGCCATGGATCAAAGGTGGAAAAGGTGAGCTTGTTCATTCAATCTGTGTTTGTGAGTGACTCCCCAAACATTTGCTAATGTGTCTTTTAAAAATTGTAGGTTACCCTTGCTAGTAATCATTTTGTTATTTTGGAGGAATGCTGATGGATTTAAAGGTGAGTTTTGCCCCCGCCACACAAACACACTTTTATTTTAACGGAATGCATGTTTAGTGGGACTTGTGGGTGTGCAAAAGTCTTCTGTTTTGTTTAATTCTATAGGTGGAGCATATTCTGGTACCCATCATGGGTGGGGTCAGCCTTCTGACACTTTCTCACCTCGTACAGTCCAGTCTTCTATGTCAGAGGTCCATGTGACTGGGATTTTGCCTGTTGAAGAAGTGGGCTCCAGTTTGTTCCCTAACAAACCCCTGAAAAGCAAGTCCAAGTTGAATCTACTTCAGTTTGTCAAAGGTGGTTCCAACAGCTATCAGTCAACGTCCCATGCCCAAACTACTCCAAGCAGCTCTGTCTCGGCTTCCTTGCCTCTGTCCCTGAGTCAACAGCCTTCAAAAAGTTTGGCATCCTCTGGATCAACCATTCCAGGTGTTGCTGGTGGATTAAGTTTGGAGACCCAATATGCTGGAAGTGGTTCTGGACAAGTTGTTTCCACCCTAGGAGAGCGTAGTAGCTTTCCTGCCAAGCTTGGTGTTTCTGGCCAATCCACCAGTGATACTTTGCATGTGTCCAGCTCCCAGGAAACCTCTGTTAAACTGGCAGAAGCCTCTTTGCCTGTGTTCTCTAAGAAGGTCTCTGACAGCAGTTCATCTGCTCCAGGTGCCACTTCCAGTTTTCTGAGTAGCCCTGCACTACTTTCAGAAAGCTTGGGTCAACCTGAATCTTCTCAGGGTGAAGTTGGTTACAGTGGTTTGTCTCAAGGTGCCTCTAGTCAGTATACCCCAGACTCCAATACCATGATCGGTTCTCCCATTTCTAGCCAGTCCAGTGGTGACCAGAGCTTTTTAGCTTCTGGTTTTTCTCTTCTAGAGGAAGTGGCAGGGCTTGGTCCTCTTGACTTGTCTACCAAATCTTCAGAGATGTCCAGTCAGTTTAAGCCCTTTGTGGTATCTAGCCAGTCTACTAATAGTCAAAGCTCCCCTAGTCTACATATGGTTAGCCCTCAGAGCAGTTACAAGTCAACAGATGCTGCTACACCTCTGTACACTCAGGGCAGTGTCTCTTACAGTAGCTTATCTAGCCAGGCTCAAGGCTCCGCCACTTCTCGGGGTAGCTCTGGGGCTGAATTGTTTGCAAGTTCTGTCCAATCTGTCCCCACGCGAGTAGGGAGTGGCAGTTACAGTGGTGTGTCCCAGTCTCTCAGTGCCTCTAGTCTGTATACTCCAGGATCCCTGATGGCTAACAAGCTTGATTCTTTACCCCTGGGGGTTTCTGGCCAGTCCACAAATGTTCAGAGTTCACCTAATGTGTCTACGTCAAGCACCCAGAGCAGGTCTGGCACTCAGTTGGCAACTTCCAGTCATTTTATCCCTGTGCAAGGAGGTAGTAGCTCTGTTAGGTTATCGCTCAAACCTCAGGGCACTCTGGGTCCATATGCTCCCTCGTCCCCTACCAAATATGTAAGCGCTCCCATGTCTGCACCCCAAGCTACCACAAATAGCGGGTCTTCCTATAGGGCAATTTCACAGGTTGGTTCTCTGTCTCAAATGGGAGCTTCCGGTCAGTTTGCATCTCGGGGAGGGAACTATTACAGGGGGTTGCTTCCACCGTCTCAAGCTACCTCTAGTCAATATGCTCTTGGCTACTCCAAGCCCATTTCCTCGCCCCAAAGCACTTCCAGTCAGCCCACCAGTGCCTTGAGTTCCCGTAAACAATATAACTCTGCCTCCCAGGGCTCTGGGTCTCAGTTTGGGGCCTCTACTGGTTTTGCCTCGCAGGGAATGAGCAGCTCTTACAGTGGTTCTGTCCAGTCTCAAGGTACCACTAGCCAGTTTGCCCCTGGGTCTCTATCCTCATATCCAGGTTTATCATTGTCCTCACCCCAAGCTGGTCCATTTACTGTTCAGGGTTCTCGGAAGCAGCTTACCTCTACCTACACAGGCAGCTCTGGCACCCAGGTGGGATCCTCTACTCTCTTCACCCTGCATGGAAGCACTGCTTATGGTGGATCACGTCAGCCTCAAGATACGGCAAGTCCGTTTACCCCTAGCTCTCCATATGAAAGCGTATACTGCAAATGTGTGTTGTCACCCCAAGGTGTAGACCGTCACTCTACTAGTGTTCGGAGTTCACAAAAGCAGTTTACCTCTAGCTATGGAGCCCAGTCAGGGTCTTCTACTCCCTTCACCCTGCAAGGAAGTATCACTTTTGATGGATCACCACAGCCTCAAGGTACTGCAAGTCAATTTGCACCCGTTTCTCCCTCATATCTAAGTGTATTATCCCCATCCCAAGGTGTTGCCAGTCAGTCTACTATTTGGGGCTCTCCAAAGCAGCTTACCTCTACCTTCGCAGGCAGCTCTGACACCCAGGCAGGGTCTTCTACTCCATTTATCCTGCAGGGAGGCACCGCTTATGGTGGTTCATCTCAACCTCAAGATACCACAAGTCCGTCTGCCCCTGGATCTTATTCCTCCCATGCAAGTGTATCCCTGTCCTCACCCCAAGCTGGTCCATCTACTAATGTTCAGGCTTCTCGGAAGCGGTTTACCTCTGCCTACCAGGGCAGCTCTGGGGCTTCGTTTGGGGCCTCTACAGGTTTTGCCTCACAAGGAATGAGCAGCTCTTACAGTGGTTCTGACCAGTCTCAAGGTACCACTAGCCAGTTTGCCCCTGGGTCGCCATCGTCATATCTAGGTTTATTATTGTCCTCACCCCATGCTGGTCCATCTACTAATGTTCCGGGTTCTCTGAAGCGGCTGGCTTCTACCTTCATAGGCAGCTCTGGCACCCAGGCAGGGTCCTCTACTCCATTTATTCTGCAGGGAAGCACTGCTTATGGTGGATCACCTCAGCCTCAAGATGCTGCAAGTCAGTCTGCCCCTGGGTCTCAGTCCTCTGCAAGTGTATCACTGTCCTCACCCCAAGCTGGTCCATCTACTACTGTTCAGGGTTCTCTGAAGCGGCTGGCTTCTATCATCGTAGAGTGATCGGGGGTGTGGCCTGAATGCTGCTTGTCAGATTTATTTTTTTTATTTTTTAAGCAAATGAGAGCGAGCAAGTGTCACCTACTGGATGTTGCGTGCTTTTATATAGCTGAAACTTGGCAGCCACAAACATGCCATGAAAGCAGAGAACATCACCCATGTTCTGTTATACTTTGTTTTTCACTGTGAAACAGAACTCGTGTCAGGAGAGCCAGCTGACAATGTTGATTGTTCAATTCAAGTTTATTTGTATAGCGCTTTTCACGATACAAATCGTTGCAAAGGAGTTTTACAGCAAATTAAGTTTCTACAATATGTAGTGGTAGCTTATCAGTGGTGACTGTCAGTTAATGTGCATATGGCAGAAATGTATGAAGAAATCAAAGATGTAATCAAACAGACGATGAACACTATTAACAGCAATTATGATGCAATCAAACTTATAGCAAAATTTGGTAGTTCTGTTTGGTTCAGGGTTGGCGTCATCTGAGGTCCTCTGAGGAGTTGGAATCATCTCTTCTCGGGTGTTCTGAATCCAGACTGAAGCTTGTGTAAATCCTAGTGGCAAAAACAGAAACAAAGACTATTAGCGTAGCTGCTGTTCCAACCAAGCAAAATTGGTTTGTTTAACCCAAGCTAAAGAATGTGCATTTGATCAGATATAACTGCAGTACAAGATTATGAGATGCATTATTTGAATGCTTGGCCAAAGAGATGT